GAAACTATTCCGGTAGATTTTCGGAATGCTTGAACAATTATCTAAGGTAAAAATGTCCTCAGATTTTGAATAAAATTACTTCTTAATAGTGTAAAATCGATTTGAAAAGTTGTTACTTTGTCAAAAGTCAAGTTTTAAAAACACTTAACTTGATGACGTCATCAAGTGATGATGATGAAGTTAAATTATTTTTCAATACAATGTAAACTAAAGCTTAAACGATTATCTTCAAAACCTGTGGTTCGAGATGACTGTATCGTTTATACTTTCGAATCTACGGACACTTAAATGTAGGCTACAATTGACTGCAAAAAGCGTCTATACATACATATATATATATATATATATCTTCACGACAATCTGTTGTAAAACAGGGGTTCCAGAAAACCCACTTCCCGATACTCCTGAAACATGAAATTTTTTTTACAGTCGATTTGGACAAGGTCTAGACGCCCTGCAAAGTTTCATATCTCTAACTCAATTTTAACATGGTTTTTAAGGCACCTGAATATGGCGATTTTGGGTTTTTTACCTAATTTCGTATAACATGCTGGCGCGTATTTTGCGCAAATTTCTTAAAAACCTCCACATAACTATTTCTTATTCCTGTCATCTTTAACATTGAATTAGAATGTTTTAAACTTAAATATGCCTGCTGAACTACTTTCGATGAGTCTTAATGCCTGGAAAACAATAAAGGGGATATACTAGTATAGGGGGTAAATAGTATTGTGAATATAAGGGCGACGGTAATGCTTGCCAGCATTGTGAAAAGCAGAATAAATTCTAAGATAACGGAAAACTGGTACAGAAAGCTAATATCCTATCACGGAGTCTAGGAAAAACCTGTGAACCAAATAAGCAGAATGGCACCCGTGCATGAAGTGTTAAAATATATACCGAACTGGAATGCCTGCAGAGGCATTTTACTCCTTAATAATGCACGTGTTAGAAAATTTAGTAAAAGCTAAAAATGAACGAAGCGGTGAAAACTTTCTTAGAGGGTGAGAGGTTCTTTAATAAAACCTAATGATTAAATGAGACCCGCTAAAGGTACTAAATTAACCGGACTGCTAGCGATGAATCGAGAGTGGGAATAAAATAAAAGCAGAATAAATTCTAAGATAACGGAAAACTGGTACAGAAAGCTAATATCCTATCACGGAGTCTAGGAAAAACCTGTGAACCAAATAAGCAGAATGGCACCCGTGCATGAAGTGTTAAAATATATACCGAACTGGAATGCCTGCAGAGGCATTTTACTCCTTAATAATGCACGTGTTAGAAAATTTAGTAAAAGCTAAAAATGAACGAAGCGGTGAAAACTTTCTTAGAGGGTGAGAGGTTCTTTAATAAAACCTAATGATTAAATGAGACCCGCTAAAGGTACTAAATTAACCGGACTGCTAGCGATGAATCGAGAGTGGGAATAAAATAAAAGCAGAATAAATTCTAAGATAACGGAAAACTGGTACAGAAAGCTAATATCCTATCACGGAGTCTAGGAAAAACCTGTGAACCAAATAAGCAGAATGGCACCCGTGCATGAAGTGTTAAAATATATACCGAACTGGAATGCCTGCAGAGGCATTTTACTCCTTAATAATGCACGTGTTAGAAAATTTAGTAAAAGCTAAAAATGAACGAAGCGGTGAAAACTTTCTTAGAGGGTGAGAGGTTCTTTAATAAAACCTAATGATTAAATGAGACCCGCTAAAGGTACTAAATTAACCGGACTGCTAGCGATGAATCGAGAGTGGGAATAAAATAAAAGCAGAATAAATTCTAAGATAACGGAAAACTGGTACAGAAAGCTAATATCCTATCACGGAGTCTAGGAAAAACCTGTGAACCAAATAAGCAGAATCCAGACATTTTAAGATACTCTCAAGTGAGACTCTCCACTGATGAGTGTAATAAATACATAGCTATATATTTATCACTTCACTATATTTTACATTACCTCTACACTGATGAGTTATTATTAATATTATTTCAAACAAATACTCGAGCAGACGAATCGTTTATAAAAAGAACAATACCAAATCTCGGAATTGTTCTTCCTCATTCCTGCTTAAAGCCGTAGTACATACATATTACACTATTGTTAGGTAAGTGTACCTTAGTAACTATAGTAACCATAATAACACTAGTAACCATAGTAACCATAGTAACCATAGTAACCACAGTAACCATAGTAACCATAGTAACCATAATAACACTAGTAACCATAGTAACCATAATAACACTAGTAACCATAGTAACTATAATAACACTAGTAACCATAGTAACCATAATAACACTAGTAACCATAGTAACACTAGTAACCATAATAACACTAGTAACCATAGTAACCATAATAACACTAGTAACCATAGTAACACTAGTAACCATAATAACACTAGTAACCATAGTAACCATAATAACACTAGTAACCATAGTAACACTAGTAACCATAATAACACTAGTAACCATAGTAACCATAGTAACCATAGTAACACTAGAGGATCTGACTAACGTAGTGAGAGATATTTTAAACAGTGTAAAAAGTATACAGATTACAGGAGTAACGTACACTGTACAGGAACCTGAATCGAGCGGAACAAAATATTCTATCTACAATCTACCCTGGTAAGGTCTTAAATTACATTTTACAGCCAAGTTCACGTTAATATTAATGAGCACAATCGAATTATTCCTTTACTAAACTTAATAACCTGGACGCGTGTTATTCCAAATTGAAAGTATTTCTAATATTAGAATTTCGGTTTCAAATGTCATGCTGTCATGAAGATGGGACAGCACACTCCCTGATCACACAATATCAGTTTTACACTGTACACGTGAAATGAATATCTTCGAATCAATGCATATTTCGAAATCAGTATTCCTCATTTACTAGCATACAATCAATGTATAGTGTATAGTGTAAAGTGTATAGTGTATAGTGTATTTACTAGCAAACAATCAATGACCGAATTATTTTCAATTTAATAACAGATACCAAAGTGACCCTATTAAAAGGCATTTAATAGTGTTGACAGCTATAAGTGTTGACAGCTCTAAGTGTAATTAATTAATCGGCCAAATAATATGCAATGTAATGAATTTGGCGGTTTAAAAGAAGGAAACGAAAGTATCAAACTGAGGGAGGGATATTTGTCAAGGTGGAGTGAGAGTCGTGCCCAGATAAGAATCCGTTGTCATGGTTACAATTAGGATATGTTACACCTACAAACCTTACTAAACAAGAAGACTTCACGGCAGTGTGTTGATATTAATATCCAGATTAGAGCATGATCATCGGCATAATCTGAACAAACAAATGTAACTATTCATCCGGGTGTGGTTTATTCCTCACTTTGTAGCGAATATAATTATAAAGGTTTTAATTAAGTAAGTTATACGTGTAGACTGTAGTCGTTACGTAAACTTTAAGTTAAGAATTGCTTACAATTATCAGATTATAAACGAGTTAATGACTAAAGTTGTTTTGTCGTGTGCTGTTACTTACCCGGCGGAGTGTGCTGATACTTACCCTGCTAAGTTGTAAGTAATATGCTCATGTTTTAAAGTCCTCACAGGGCGTGATTCATAAAAATAAGTAGGAGTATCAATATCATATTACATATATAATTTATCGGCATTGTAATTTATACTATATTATTACCGTAGATCTTCATTTTTCTGGCAAATGCTTACGTTATTAGGGGGGGGCCGGGGGGGGGGGGGGGGCGTCTTACCTGGGGACAAATCCCGTATCAGTACAGACAGGGTATCAGTATATTATCATCAGATGATATCAACTCAGCGCGCGCACTGACCATATCACTGCGCGTATGGTGAGCGCGAATCTTTCTGAAATATTTCGACTGCGCGTTCCATTGCAAGTTTTATGTAGACTCTTTTAACGTTTAGCGAAACATTGCTTACGTATCTAATATAACAGCTTTCCTTCACTCACAATTAGTTTTACACAAGAACAGATCTATACAGCCTATAAATACTCTACAGAACAGTTCCCAAGATTTTACGATCCAGATAAAAACATCATCCGACTTTTACTCAACATTCTCCCGGATAAAATGTAATTAGAGTTGAAGCAGATTGAGTGGTGGAAGTGCTACAACCAGGCGTTTACTCCTTATCACGGGTATTAAGTTACGTTATATATATTTGCCGGGGTGATGTAACTGGGGGGGGGGGGGGGGTGATGTAACTGGGGGGGGGGGTGATGTAACTGGGGGGGGGGGGTGATGTAACTGGGGGGGGGGGGGGGGGTGATGTAACTGGGGAGGGGGGTGGGGTGATGTAACTGGGGGGGGGGGGGGGGTGGGGGGGGTGATGTAACTGGGGGGGGGGGGGGGGGGTGGGGTGATGTAACTGAGGGGGGGGGGGGGTGGGGTGATATAATCATCCCCCGCTCTACCACACAATAAATCTCTGAATCGCTGAAAAATTTGTGATTACAAACTAACATGCCAAATAATACAAAAAGATATAATATTATTTCATGATGCAATAAAAACTTGTATGCAAACCCTTGGAAAGTGTGACATGCTATTAATCGTGTAACAATTTTAATGGTATTAATATAAAAGTGTACTACAAGGCAGTCACCCAACAACTCCAATACTTACACAAACACAACTAAATAAATCAAATTCCACAAAATTAAAACACAAAGTTGCTCTCTCATCTGCCACTCCTTACTTTTAAATAACAATTCTCAATAAAGATCCTATATGGACAAGTTCATTTGATTTTGAGGATATTGGTAAACAAAAATAATAGCGTTTTCGACGATAGTGGCTTAATTTTGGCATCTATTAACCTAGCACGTTAAGAAGTTATGAACATTAGCCACGTGACCCATACTCCCATATGCACTGCTCAGAAATAAAATTTATTGTTTTTATGCACTGCAATGTTTAAAAAGTTCCTTTTTTTGCGACTTTGTTAGCTATAGCTGCCCAATAAGCTTCCCTTAGTCTAAAATATAGTAGTCAATCTAACAAATCTGATACAACATTGGTTAAAGGGCAGGGATCGAGCGGTTTACGAGGTAAGGGTCATATGTACCCATCCTAGTGATGAGACGAATATCCTAACCATAAAGGGTTTAAATAATTTCATAGTGTGACAAAGTCACTACACTGTGCCTTTTAATAGGACCACTAATATTTACCAATATTCTCAAACTCAAATGAACGTGTCCATAAAACATTGGTTAATGGGTCACAATAGAATTGTCTGGAATGTCTTTGCTGGAATCTAATTAAAACTAATTTATTAATTAACTAATTGATTAATTAATTAGTATTTGTTAATACCAAATAGTCGTTTGGCGTGCATGAAGGGTTGTTTAGGTATGAACTGTAAGAGGAAGGAAGGTATTGATTGGAACAGTACGTCAGAAGAGTAGTCGCAGTAGTGCTGGCACATCAGAAACCTGGGAGAAAGAGACCTTACTTACATAATTAGGGGGAATTAATTACATAATTAGGGGAACATTATTATCAAACTTAACACAAATCTGAAGTAGTTAACAATAAACATCTTAAAGATCTGATAAGTCTACAAAAAAAATTAAAATTATTATTAAATGGCAACAAACTTAAAGAACTATAACATAAAGCGTGTTTAGGAGGATATATCTAGGGGGACATTGCTAACACAATTAGGGGAACTTTACTTAAACAATTGGGAGATATTTCAAGAACTGTATGTTAATGCTACGCACTGTATGCTATGTTTGGTAGCATTGAAAATTTGGTCGGGGCAAAAATCGTAATTCTTCTTCACTCAACTTTAATCGGCTTGTAATTTGGAATTTCCTTGTGTTTTACTTACAATATGCAGGAGAAGATGATAAGGAATTTCCTTGTGTTTTACTTACAATATACAGGGGAAGATGATAAGGAATTTCTTTGTGTTTTACTTACAATATGCAGGGGAAGATATAAGGAATTTCCTTGTGTTTTACTTACAATATGCAGGGGAAGATGATAAGGAATTTCCTTGTGTTTTACTTACAATATACAGGGGAAGATGATAAGGAATTTCCTTGCGTTTTACTTATAATATACAGGGGAAGATGATAAGGAATTTCCTTGTGTTTTACTTACAATATGCAGGGGAAGATGATAAGGAATTTCCTTGTGTTTTACTTACAATATGCAGGGGAAGATGACAAGTAATTTCCTTGTGTTTTACTTACAATATGCAGGGGAAGATGATAAGGAATTTCCTTGTGTTTTACTTACAATATGCAGGGGAAGATGATAAGGAATTTCCTTGTGTTTTACTTACAATATGCAGGGGAAGATGATAAGGAATTTCCTTGTGTTTTACTAACAATATGCAGGGGAAGATGATAAGGAATTTCCTTGTGTTTTACTTACAATATGCAGGGGAAGATGATAAGGAATTTCCTTGTGTTTTACTTACAATATGCAGGGGAAGATGATAAGGAATTTCCTTGTGTTTTACTTACAATATGCAGGAATTTCCTTGTGTTTTACTTACAATATGCAGGGGAAGATGATAAGGAATTTCCTTGTGTTTTACTTACAATATGCAGGGGAAGATGATAAGGAATTTCCTTGTGTTTTACTTACAATATGCAGGGGAAGATGATAAGGAATTTCCTTGTGTTTGTCCACTGTTTCCCGTGGTTTATCTGCTCCCAATGTGTTAGCTGTCTGTTTTCTCCTTGATCGCTGCAACCAAACGGAGATCCTCTCAGATAGTGAAACACGATAAAATTCCCCTGCGGAATGTTAATTTATAAGTTGTTTCAATGAAAAAATAAAATTATCTAAAGAAGCGGTAACTTTATATTTGTGTGTGATCAGGTGTGATCAGGTCCCTGACACTGTGTGATCAGGTGTGATGCGTGTAGGGTTGATAAGGGAAAGAATCTATATTACATTATCTACATCATTATATTATCTATATTATATTATTTATATTATATTATCTATATTATTATCTACATCATATATTATCTATATTATATTATCTATATTATCATCTACATCATATATTATCTATATTATCTATATGATCATATTTTAATATTCCTCTTTCAGCTAGTATATAGCGGGTTTCCAGTATTATTTGAGACTCAGGTCAACTTTAAACAATTACGTGTATTACAGGAACACAACAGGTATTGTACTTGTAGTGTACTTCATACAACAAAAGTAACTTTATCCGTGTATGATACTTTATAGTGTGTGATAAGATTTTAACAGAATTATAAGAACCTGTACAATAAAACCATTCTCCTGATACTCTAGTAGCAGCGTGTAGTGTGATACTAGAGTAGATGCAGTGTGCTACTAGAGTAGATGTAGCAGCGTGTAGTGTGCTACTAGAGTAGATGCAGTGTGCTACTAGAGTAGATGTAGCAGCGTGTAGTGTGCTACTAGAGTAGATGTAGCAGCGTGTAGTGTGATACTAGAGTAGATGTAGCAGCGTGTAGTGTGATACTAGAGTAGATGTAGCAGCGTGTAGTGTGCTACTAGAGTAGATGTAGCAGCGTGTAGTGTGCTACTAGAGTAGATGTAGCAGCGTGTAGTGTGCTACTAGAGTAGATGTAGCAGCGTGTAGTGTGATACTAGAGTAGATGTAGCAGCGTGTAGTGTGCTACTAGAGTAGATGTAGCAGCGTGTAGTGTGCTACTAGAGTAGATGTAGTGTGTAGTGTGCTACTAGAGTAGATGTAGCAGCGTGTAGTGTGCTACTAGAGTAGATGTAGCAGCGTGTAGTGTGCTACTAGAGTAGATGTAGTGTGTAGTGTGCTACTAGAGTAGATGTAGCAGCGTGTAGTGTGCTACTAGAGTAGATGTAGCAGCGTGTAGTGTGCTACTAGAGTAGATGTAGCAGCGTGTAGTGTGCTACTAGAGTAGATGTAGTGTGTAGTGTGCTACTAGAGTAGATGTAGCAGCGTGTAGTGTGCTACTAGAGTAGATGTAGCAGCGTGTAGTGTGCTACTAGAGTAGATGTAGCAGCGTGTAGTGTGCTACTAGAGTAGATGTAGTGTGTAGTGTGCTACTAGAGTAGATGTAGCAGCGTGTAGTGTGATACTAGAGTAGATGTAGCAGCGTGTAGTGTGCTACTAGAGTAGATGTAGCAGCGTGTAGTGTGCTACTAGAGTAGATGTAGTGTGTAGTGTGCTACTAGAGTAGATGTAGCAGCGTGTAGTGTGCTACTAGAGTAGATGTAGCAGCGTGTAGTGTGCTACTAGAGTAGATGTAGCAGCGTGTAGTGTGCTACTAGAGTAGATGTAGTGTGTAGTGTGCTACTAGAGTAGATGTAGCAGCGTGTAGTGTGCTACTAGAGTAGATGTAGCAGCGTGTAGTGTGCTACTAGAGTAGATGTAGCAGCGTGTAGTGTGCTACTAGAGTAGATGTAGCAGCGTGTAGTGTGCTACTAGAGTAGATGTAGCAGCGTGTAGTGTGCTACTAGAGTAGATGTAGCAGCGTGTAGTGTGCTACTAGAGTAGATGTAGCAGCGTGTAGTGTGCTACTAGAGTAGATGTAGCAGCGTGTAGTGTGCTACTAGAGTAGATGTAGTGTGTAGTGTGCTACTAGAGTAGATGTAGCAGCGTGTAGTGTGCTACTAGAGTAGATGTAGCAGCGTGTAGTGTGCTACTAGAGTAGATGTAGCAGCGTGTAGTGTGCTACTAGAGTAGATGTAGTGTGTAGTGTGCTACTAGAGTAGATGTAGCAGCGTGTAGTGTGCTACTAGAGTAGATGTAGCAGCGTGTAGTGTGCTACTAGAGTAGATGTAGCAGCGTGTAGTGTGCTACTAGAGTAGATGTAGCAGCGTGTAGTGTGCTACTAGAGTAGATGTAGCAGCGTGTAGTGTGCTACTAGAGTAGATGTAGCAGCGTGTAGTGTGCTACTAGAGTAGATGTAGCAGCGTGTAGTGTGCTACTAGAGTAGATGTAGCAGCGTGTAGTGTGCTACTAGAGTAGATGTAGCAGCGTGTAGTGTGCTACTAGAGTAGATGTAGCAGCGTGTAGTGTGCTACTAGAGTAGATGTAGCAGCGTGTAGTGTGCTACTAGAGTAGATGTAGCAGCGTGTAGTGTGCTACTAGAGTAGATGTAGCAGCGTGTAGTGTGCTACTAGAGTAGATGTAGCAGCGTGTAGTGTGCTACTAGAGTAGATGTAGCAGCGTGTAGTGTGCTACTAGAGTAGATGTAGCAGCGTGTAGTGTGCTACTAGAGTAGATGTAGCAGCGTGTAGTGTGCTACTAGAGTAGATGTAGCAGCGTGTAGTGTGCTACTAGAGTAGATGTAGCAGCGTGTAGTGTGCTACTAGAGTAGATGTAGCAGCGTGTAGTGTGCTACTAGAGTAGATGTAGTGTGCTACTAGAGTAGATGTAGCAGCGTGTAGTGTGCTTCTAGAGTAGATGCAGCAGCGTGTAGTGTGCTACTAGAGTAGATGTAGTGTGCTACTAGTGTAGATGTAGCAGCGTGTAGTGTGCTACTAGAGTAGATGCAGTGTGTAGTGTGCTACTAGAGTAGATGCAGTGTGTAGTGTGCTACTAGAGTAGATGCAGCAGCGTGTAGTGTGCTACTAGAGTAGATGTAGCAGCGTGTAGTGTGCTACTAGAGTAGATGTAGCAGCGTGTAGTGTGCTACTAGAGTAGATGTAGCAGCGTGTAGTGTGCTACTAGAGTAGATGTAGCAGCGTGTAGTGTGCTACTAGAGTAGATGTAGCAGCGTGTAGTGTGCTACTAGAGTAGATGTAGTGTGCTACTAGAGTAGATGCAGCGTGTAGTGTGCTACTAGAGTAGATGTAGTGTGCTACTAGTGTAGATGTAGCAGCGTGTAGTGTGCTACTAGAGTAGATGCAGTGTGTAGTGTGCTACTAGAGTAGATGCAGCAGCGTGTAGTGTGCTACTAGAGTAGATGTAGCAGCGTGTAGTGTGCTTCTAGAGTAGATGCAGCAGCGTGTAGTGTGCTACTAGAGTAGATGTAGTGTGCTACTAGTGTAGATGTAGCAGCGTGTAGTGTGCTACTAGAGTAGATGCAGCAGCGTGTAGTGTGCTACTAGAGTAGATGCAGCAGCGTGTAGTGTGCTACTAGAGTAGATGTAGTGTGCTACTAGTGTAGATGTAGCAGCGTGTAGTGTGCTACTAGAGTAGATGCAGTGTGTAGTGTGCTACTAGAGTAGATGCAGTGTGTAGTGTGCTACTAGAGTAGATGTAGCAGCGTGTAGTGTGCTACTAGAGTAGATGTAGCAGCGTGTAGTGTGCTACTAGAGTAGATGTAGCAGCGTGTAGTGTGCTACTAGAGTAGATGTAGCAGCGTGTAGTGTGCTACTAGAGTAGATGTAGCAGCGTGTAGTGTGCTACTAGAGTAGATGTAGTGTGCTACTAGAGTAGATGCAGCGTGTAGTGTGCTACTAGAGTAGATGTAGTGTGCTACTAGAGTAGATGCAAGAAACTGATGTGTTAAAAGTAAAGGCAAATAGTTTAGCAACGCTAGGCAGGTTGGCAGTGTGAGGACTCCGCACTGAGGAGGATATGATGTCGCAGTTGTTTTCACCTCTCGTATTAGCGTTAAGATCACAGTGGTTGAGGAAGTGATATTCGTTTTTAATGAAACCAGTACCTAAGACTATATTCTTGCAACTTATAATACTATAGTTGACAATAGTTTTATTAAAACATAGTGTTAATTAATGTTAATAAGTTACTAATTACTAATTACTAACGATATTGTGCACGTTAATAGTGCAGAGCCAGCCAGTTGTAGCTGTAATAGAGGGGACACATGAACACATGAGGTGAAGGAAACACACTGCTCCAGTATAAGCTATCCAGAAATACCTGGTAATGTTATTAGTTAAATACAGTATGAGTATACTGTACCTTATATATATAAATGTAATGTTATTAGTTAAACACCTGTAATCAAGTTTTGTAAGTAAAATAAGTAGTTTAATAAGTAAAATAATTAAAACAAATTAGCTAATAAGGTTAGTAACCTGCTATCCAGGTAGCTAGCATTAGTTAATAAAGTTAGTAACCTGCTGTCCAGGTAGCTAGCATTAGTTAATAAAGTTAGTAACCTGCTGTCCAGGTAGCTAGCATAAGTTAATAAAGTTAGTAACCTGCTATCCAGGTAGCTAGCATTAGTTAATAAAGTTAGTAACCTGCTGTCCAGGTAGCTAGCATTAGTTAATAAAGTTAGTAACCTGCTGTCCAGGTAGCTAGCATTAATTAATAAAGTTAGTAACCTGCTATCCAGGTAGCTAGCATTAGTTAATAAAGTTAGTAACCTGCTGTCCAGGTAGCTAGCATTAGTTAATAAAGTTAGTAACCTGCTATCCAGATAGCTAGCATTAGTTAATAAAGTTAGTAACCTGCTGTCCAGGTAGCTAGCATTAGTTAATAAAGTTAGTAACCTGCTATCCAGGTAGCTAGCATTAGTTAATAAAGTTAGTAACCTGCTATCCAGGTAGCTAGCATTAGTTAATAAAGTTAGTAACCTGCTGTCCAGGTAGCTAGCATTAGTTAATAAAGTTAGTAACCTGCTATCCAGGTAGCTAGCATTAGTTAATAAAGTTAGTAACCTGCTATCCAGGTAGCTAGCATTAGTTAATAAAGTTAGTAACCTGCTATCCAGGTAGCTAGCATTAGTTAATAAAGTTAGTAACCTGCTGTCCAGGTAGCTAGCATTAGTTAATAAAGTTAGTAACCTGCTATCCAGGTAGCTAGCATTAGTTAATAAAGTTAGTAACCTGCTGTCCAGGTAGCTAGCATTAGTTAATAAAGTTAGTAACCTGCTATCCAGGTAGCTAGCATTAGTTAATAAAGTTAGTAACCTGCTATCCAGGTAGCTAGCATTAGTTAATAAAGTTAGTAACCTGCTATCCAGGTAGCTAGCAGTAGTTAATAAAGTTAGTAACCTGCTATCCAGGTAGCTAGCATTAGTTAATAAAGTTAGTAACCTGCTATCCAGGTAGCTAGCATTAGTTAATAAAGTTAGTAACCTGCTGTCCAGGTAGCTAGCATTAGTTAATAAAGTTAGTAACCTGCTGTCCAGGTAGCTAGCATTAGTTAATAAAGTTAGTAACCTGCTATCCAGGTAGCTAGCATTAGTTAATAAAGTTAGTAACCTGCTGTCCAGGTAGCTAGCATTAGTTAATAAAGTTAGTAACCTGCTATCCAGGTAGCTAGCATTAGTTAATAAAGTTAGTAACCTGCTGTCCAGGTAGCTAGCATTAGTTAATAAAGTTAGTAACCTGCTATCCAGGTAGCTAGCATTAGTTAATAAAGTTAGTAACCTGCTATCCAGGTAGCTAGCATTAGTTAATAAAGTTAGTAACCTGCTATCCAGGTAGCTAGCATTAGTTAATAAAGTTAGTAACCTGCTATCCAGGTAGCTAGCATTAGTTAATAAAGTTAGTAACCTGCTATCCAGGTAGCTAGCATTAGTTAATAAAGTTAGTAACCTGCTGTCCAGGTAGCTAGCATTAGTTAATGAAGTTAGTAACCTGCTATCCAGGTAGCTAGCATTAGTTAATAAAGTTAGTAACCTGCTATCCAGGTAGCTAGCATTAGTTAATAAAGTTAGTAACCTGCTATCCAGGTAGCTAGCATTAGTTAATAAAGTTAGTAACCCGCTATCCAGGTAGCTAGCATTAGTTAATAAAGTTAGTAACCTGCTATCCAGGTAGCTAGCATTAGTTAATAAAGTTAGTAACCTGCTATCCAGGTAGCTAGCATTAGTTAATGAAGTTAGTAACCTGCTGTCCAGGTAGCTAGCATTAGTTAATAAAGTTAGTAACCTGCTATCCAGGTAGCTAGCATTAGTTAATAAAGTTAGTAACCTGCTATCCAGGTAGCTAGCATTAGTTAATAAAGTTAGTAACCTGCTATCCAGGTAGCTAGCATTAGTTAATAAAGTTAGTAACCTGCTATACAGGTAGCTAGCATTAGTTAATAAAGTTAGTAACCTGCTGTCCAGGTAGCTAGCATTAGTTAATAAAGTTAGTAACCTGCTATCCAGGTAGCTAGCATTAGTTAATGAAGTTAGTAACCTGCTGTCCAGGTAGCTAGCATTAGTTAATAAAGTTAGTAACCTGCTATCCAGGTAGCTAGCATTAGTTAATAAAGTTAGTAACCTGCTATCCAGGTAGCTAGCATTAGTTAATAAAGTTAGTAACCTGCTGTCCAGGTAGCTAGCATTAGTGTATAAAGTTAGTAACCTGCTATCCAGGTAGCTAGCATTAGTTAATAAAGTTAGTAACCTGCTATCCAGGTAGCTAGCATTGGTTAATAAAGTTAGTAACCTGCTATCCAGGTAGCTAGCATTAGTTAATAAAGTTAGTAACCTGCTATCCAGGTAGCTAGCATTAGTTAATAAAGTTAGTAACCTGCTGTCCAGGTAGCTAGCATTAGTTAATAAAGTTAGTAACCTGCTATCCAGGTAGCTAGCATTAGTTAATAAAGTTAGTAACCTGCTATCCAGGTAGCTAGCATTAGTTAATAAAGTTAGTAACCTGCTGTCCAGGTAGCTAGCATTAGGGTTGCTCTCAACAGTGGTTGTTCCAACTTGCATCCTATTCAGATATTAGTCAGGATGCGTTCACATATTACGTAATCAGCCGAGGGGGGGGGGGGTTCCAAATGATTACGCTGGTGTAATTATGACACAATAGCTATGTGTAAAAGTGATAACAGAGGGGAGAGGGAAATTGTCCAAAAAGTGATTACATAGTATGTGAACGACCCCTTATAATATGGATTGTTACATAATATGTTTTAAAGTATGTGAGTTTAAAACACTCTTGACTTGTTCCAAATCATTCAAAATAATTACTTTCTTAGTCAATTCCTAATTGAGTCAATTAGCTGGAGATGAAGTTGAATCGTTGAGAAGATCAAAGTAAACAAGTAAAACACAAGTTAATATTCTTTCCGACGAAATAGGTAAATGGATGTAAAAATAACACAATCAAATTTAGAAACGAAAAATACAATATCTCTTTTACTGTCTGAATACTAACAAACAATACTTTACCTCTCTGGATACATTATTATCATGTAAACACCACTAACTAACTAACTAACTAACTAACTAACTAACTAACTAACTAACTAACTAACTAACTAACTAACTAGCTAACTAACTAACTAACTAACTAACTAACTAACTAACTAACTAACTAACTAACTAACTAACATGATATAACGTTAAATTTTCTGAAATTTGTTCAGTTTATAGTATTTTGTTTAATTTATTGTATATATAGTAGGATTGAAGCAATACAAAATGATAAAATTAACTGAGATCCAATGAAAAGTTAGTAAAGTCTGGTCCCTCTGAATGAGTAGTAATAAAAGTAGGAGGTCCCTCCCCACAGTCCTGTAACTGGCGTGACAGTGCGCGCTGCTCCCTCCTCCGCACGCGTTCTGAAGTGCGCCTCCTCTCCTGCTGCTGAGGGGACTCCTGACTTCTCCTCTGCTTAGCGCGCACTCTGTTTACTTCATTGTACAACAACTTCTCCTCCTCTGTCAGGGACAAGCGCTTCTGTCTCTGGCGCTGTGCAGCCTTGCGCAGTCTCACCGCGCGCTCTTCAGGCCCCTCTTTAGCTCTCCTCTCCTTACATCTCACTCTCTGTCTCTCTTTTTGCTTTAAATATTTCTCATGCTCAGATGAGAGGTAATCTTTAGCTACAGAGAAGAGAGCGGTGGTTGAGACGTGGGAGCTATCTGAATCACAGTTAGAAATATTACTACCTCCTAGGAGCTCCTCCTTAGTCTCCTCGTTATCGCTCATATCTCCTCCTTCTTCAGTTGAATAGACAGAGGACTGAGCTAATATAGTACCGGTACTACCTCCTAGTACAGTACCGTTACAGTGAGGGGGGAATGTGCCTGGATTAAGAATTATGTTTGATAGATCGACCACCCCAGTTGTTGAGTTTAGCAGTGGTAGAGCAATATTCTGATTGATCTGCGGCACGCTAGTTGGAGGATTGAGTAGCCGCACGCATGTCTGCGCGACCACCTCAGCGCCTAACACTCTCACTTGCTTTATTAGTGCTCTTTTCTCTCTCATCCTTATCCTGTCTCTTATTCTTCTTATCTCCCTCTCATCCTCAGTCTCTCTACTCCTTCTCTCTTTAGTTCTCTTCTTCGCTACCTCCTTTGCGTGCTTCTTCTCCACCTCTGACAGGTTCATGCGCTTTAAGCGCTGACGCTCTGCGCTGCGCTGGAGCCGCTGTGTTTTCTCCCAGGGCAGCTCGTTTATTCGCCGCTCTTGCTGATCTAGTCTGTGTTTTTCTCTTCTTTCTTCAGCTGTTAACTGTTTCCTCTGTGATAATTGTTTTGAATTCTCAGCTCGGAACACTGTAGAACTGGAATTATCTGAGATGTCAGAACTGTTATTGTCTGACACTATTGTAGGACTATCTGTAATACTCCTCTTATCTGAGGTTACACTGTCGTCTGAGCAAGTTAAATGGGAATACGTTTTGTGGTGAGAGGTTTTGTCGACATGGTTACTGTCGATATGGTTACTGTTGCCATAGTTACTGTTGCCATGGTTACTGTTGCCATAGTTACTGTTTTCATAGTGTATACTGTGCTGGGTAAACTTTGTGTAGTCTTTATTTTCTTCGTATGTAAACTCGCCTGCAAAGTTAATCCAAATACTTGAGTGATTTTAACCATTAATTACAACAGTAATTAAAATAACATTTTTAAGAGAAACCTCAGACTTTGGACTAGCTTGTTTCGAGAGTAAACTAATAATTTTAAATATTACATACCTTGAGACTGAATGGGGTATTTTAAAAAGTCGCATTCCAAATCATCGGGCTTTATAGACATGTGCCGTACTTTGCTATCATAAGCTATATGTTAGGTAACGTGAGTATTAATAGGGAAACAATAGTTCGATCCTAATTTTATCTGATAAATTTAATAGCAGTAGTTATAGTAGTAATGTATAACATGACAGAACTTAATTAAAATATATAATCCGACTTATTGCAAAATATTTATCAATCAATAGATTCATTACCTATATTATAACAGTAGTCAGTAATTTCAACTCCTACTCCCTGCTACTAGAGTAAAGCCACATATCTCTAAACTGCGAGACTTAACTTACTTAAGTTCTGAAATTTTGCAGTGTTAATTTTAAGTAATTACAGAATAACAAACTCTTTAAAAAGTGCAAAACTTCACTTCAATATAAACCATAATATCACTGTACAATCAGAATTTTTCAGTTATGTATTATAAAGAAGAAAAGAATGTTGAGCTATACATTTTGACTAAACAATAGTTACTGTGAAACTGTACACTACATCAAATAACTGTAATGGAACCTTACTCACAAGTACTTACTTACTCAAACCAATCTTCTTAAATAAATAACTATCCAGTCTGAAGATCAAAATCCTTCCGAAATACAATTTATCTCAAAAACTTAGTAAATTCAGAAAACTTAACTAAAGTAACATAATATACAATAAGTTGTAACTACTTAAGCTCACCCTGATTTTCTTGTGAAATTTAATTTACCAACAAACTAGGGCATGTAACCGAACTTTTGAGGGGTTCTCGACTCTGGGTGCGGTGCCCGCGGGACAGCCATGAGCCACGCCCATTTTTGGTCCAAATTATGCCCAATTATGCCAAATCATCTTAATATGCTCAAAACCCAGATTTTAGGTGCTCTACTTGTAGCTAGTGGTCCCCTATCTCGAAATAAAATTTCACAAGAAAATCATGGTGAACCCCCCTTAAAACAAAAGTACTGCTGTTTTAAAAGTACAATACACCCTGTATATTAGGTGATGCATCACCTAACATACAGGGTGTATTAGTAGATGGGGGAGGCTGTAACCATGGTAACAGGAGGGAGGGGGGCTTCATATAATTAACTGTTAACTACTCAGCAAACCTAGTGAGTATCTGCATCTCATCGAAAGCTTCAGAGAATTTAGAACTCTCAGACCTACAGAAGATAACAAGATACCAGAATACAGCAGTAGCAGCAGCAGCGAGGATACTCCCCACAAGTACCAGTACTACTGCAGGTAACAGCTCTAATACAGCTGCCACTACCACCACACACCACACCACTGTTAAACACAACCACAACACTACCTTCTGCGTGCTATCTACATGGGTAGCTGCTAAGCTTCTGTGTATACACTCCAGTGCTCCCTCCGCAGTACTTTTAGATAGTTTACACACACGAACTGCACTGGAGGGGGGTTTCAATACAAATGTACTGGACACTCCCAAGTGGTCAGAGTAAGAGAAAGTCTGGCCGGGTATTTTACCCATCACTACTAAAGAGTCTGTACAGGAGAGCTTAGTGGAGTTGAAGAAGATGTAGTCAATACGTTTACAGGTTCCATTACTGCAGAGCGTGGCCAGACTGGTGTCTGCTCTCCAGCTACACTCTGCGGGGGTAATACTTTATACACTTTTAAATACATTATACATTTAAATACATTATACATTTAAATACATTATACACATTTAAATACATTACACATTTAAATACATTATACATTTAAATACATTATACATTTAAATACATTATACACATTTAAATACATTATACATTTAAATACAGTATACATTTAAATACATTATACACATTTAAATACATTATACATTTAAATACATTATACATTTAAATACATTATACATTTAAATACATTATACATTTAAATACATTATACATTTAAATACATTATACATTTAAATACATTTAAATACATTATACATTTAAATACATTATACATTTAAATACATTATACATTATACATTTAAATACATTATACATTTAAATACATTATAGTACATTTAAATACATTATACATTTAAATACATTATACATTTAAATACATTATACATTTAAATACATTATACATTTAAATACATTATACATTTAAATACATTATACATTATGGACATCTTCAACAAGACGTTGTCTCATGTTTTGACTGCCACATGCTCAAATTTTGACTGCCAAACCATGTGATAGTTATTACTCGGCAAATTTTAAACCAATAACCACAAAAATTTGTAGTTTGGTCAACAAGGATACTATAATCACTCATTCATCAACATGAAACAGCTAAATTTGTTATTTGTACACTTTATGATAAGAATATCACAGGGAAACTTGTTTATGGCTGTGTAAAATCGAATTTACATGATTTGAGTGAGTTATCGTGATAGATGTGACCATCAAACCTTTCTGAAGCATGTGGGTGTTATATGTACCGCGATTAATGGTTAAATATACGAAATATGGTACGATTATCACACATCACTTAGGGTAGGCTATAATGACAACCAGTGAGGACTATTTTGATGTTTTGAATGCTATTCAAGGTGCTTTAGGCTGTAAAATAATGTTGTAATGATTAACATTCAATAAATGACCTGTAAAAGATACAAATATCACATTAAATTCAATATTTTTCACGAATCAATGTCAATAATGTGTGAATGTTATTTTTGAAGATCAATTCATCCAATATTATTAAACATAGTCAATAAGTAATAGGCATTTCATTAAATAAGCACTTTTCAGATACAAATATCACTTGATTAAAAAAAATTTAAAAAAATAAAAAATTATTTAAATTGAAATTGTGATATTCGTATCCTATTTTGGTTCCTAGATGTGCTGTGTAAGATGTTCAGGGAGTAATAATGTTTATTGTACATGTATCAAAAAGAATCTCGTTCTATAGACCCATATTGATACATTTATCACGAATGTTACACTTGTAAAATTTGGTTCACAAAAAATGTGATATTTGTATCCTTCAAGTGGTTGGAACAATTTTTCATCCTTGTATCCATACTGAGTTACCATTTTTGTAGGTGTGAATGAAGTTTCATCTTTATTAATGAATTATGTACCCTTCAAACAGCCACCCAGAGAACTGGACCCGAAAAATAGCTATATTTCGTTGTTTCAAAATACAATGTGATAATTGTAGTACATCTAACGGGAGGTTGATTTTTGTATCATACTTTTCACTAATTCTGTTTGGAATTGCCTCTGGTACAGTTTGAGTTCAAAGAAACAGAAAAAAGAGGTCAAGGGGATTCAATAATCACATCATAAAACGGACAATTTTGAAACGAAAATGTGTGATATTTGTATCATAATGAGCCTAAATAACGATTTCCTTTTGTACACTGCTTCCTTAGGAGACAGGCATCATGTTACGAAATTTTCATAAAAATCTGATAACATTCGGTCTCTCCAGACCCATTTGTATCATTATCACACCTCAGAAAATGTGATATTTGTATCATTGGACTTTAACGTGGTCTAGCTCTGTCAATTTATGTGATAGCATGATTTTGATTTCATAGTCATAAAGCTATGAAGATTCTGCAACCAATCAATCGAGTCTATCATAGCCAATAGACTATATAAGATTCTAAAAATCAATTTAGAAAAAGTCAAAACGTGAGACAACGTCTTGTTGAAGGTGTCCTTATACAAAATTAAATATTCTTATTGCATTGCTGTATAAAGTTTATTCTTATTCTCTCTCATTCATTAAGGAATAGATAAAGATCGACGAGCAGGGAACACTACACCACAAGTTCTACAGAAAAAAGCAGAAAAAGAAGATCACACTTAGCGCTAACAGCCACCACAATGAGGGAACAAAAGTAGCCACCATCAACTATCAAGAACTTCTACAAAACGGCTGCTCATTGCTCATCAACACCAGAGTATAAAGAAGAGTCCATGAAGATAGTAGTAACAGTTACCAAGACCCACGACGTATAAACCAGACAGGACGACTTCACCCTTTTTCACCTACAACACGACACAACCCATCATCATCGCACATACAAGATACCAACCACGTGACATGCACCTTACCAAAGAAGTCACTCAATTTGCCCTCTCACACAACTTACCTGTCAAATTCATATTCACACCAGGTAAGAAACTCTCAGATATTTTATGTTCATCACGACCAAACGACAAACCACACTGCACCATACCAAACTGTATCATATGTCCACTCATCACTGAACAAATCACGACTGCAAACCAAAATGTGTAATATACAAAGTCACGTGTAAATTATGTCAAGAGCTATATATTGGGGAAACAAGTAGAACAGTACACGATAGATTTTCTGAGCATCGAAGAGCAGTCAACAGGCCTTTAACCTATCTTACTATATAAAGCGAGACGATATATATGGTTCCGTGCCATTTTACTGACACCACGGCATCAACTTTAACGGGACTTTCCTCAAATTTATTTAAACCTAGTATCAATAATAAGGAAGAGTGCGAGAAGCTTAAGGGATTTATTTTACAACATATCAAGAGACAAATTTAAACAAGCACACAACCCTTATGTTCAGTAGATATTATGTACTTGAACAAAGTGTAAAACGTGTGTACATCACCATTTTCAATGTAATATATAATACCATTTGATGTAACCTGTATTCAGTGTGTGTAATTTTAATATAGCATTTTAACTAGTGTAGAACCATTTATAATTATATACTAACATTTGTACCAATTTTAGCCTGAAGATGGCGTTGACGCCGAATATTTGCCTACATTCCTAACCTCCTGTTTCATTTGTCCTTGTCTCTTCCAACCGGATATTATCCAACTATCAGTATTTAAATCATGAGACTAATAAACAGCGAACTACTCCATCATTTGATTAAGGAATAGGTTTAATTGCTGGATCCCTACCTGGTGTATCGTTAGTGTAACCGGGATCATTTATCTTATCTGGATGTAGTTCTCTGTAACTGCAATATGAGATAACCTGTTAGTAACCAGTTAGTAACCAGTTAGTAACCATATACATATATATAATAACCAGTTAGTAACAGTTAGTAACCAGTTAGTAACCAGTTAGTAACTGGTTAGTAACCATATACATATATATAATAACCAGTTAGTAACAGTTAGTAACCAGTTAGTAACAGTTAGTAACCAGTTAGTAACTGGTTAGTGAACAGATAGTAACCAGAAAGTAACCATATTGTAACCAGTTAGTAACTGGTTAGTGAACAGATAGTAACCAGAAAGTAACCATATAGTGACCAGTAAGTGACCAGTTAGTAACTGGTTAGTGACCAGTTAGTAACTGGTTAGTGACCAGTTAGTAACTGGTTAGTGACCAGTTAGTAACTGGTTAGTGACCAGTTAGTAACTGGTTAGTGACCAGATAGTAACTGGCTAGTGACCAGATAGTAATGATTCTCAAAAGTGTTGTTTGATGTTTCGCTACCTGTCAGTTAACCCCGACGCCTCAACAAACACCTCTGTTGCAACCTCGTCCTCCTTACAGTTGTAGTCCCCTACCGCTATTATAGCGTCAGAGTCGCAACTTCTTGCTATGTACTTAGCCATGCAATACATCTGACTCACCCTTAAGAGATAACGTTAGTTAGTTAGTTATAGTAGTAGTATAGTAGTAATTATAGTATACAGATATACAGATACATATGTATATAATATACATATTATACAGATACATTTTATTAAATCAGAACTTACTTGAGACTCAGGAAATTGAGCGAGCAAGTTTTTAAGGTAAGATCACATATGACATATTATTTCAAACCTGTGTCCAGTGTACATATCATAGCCAGTATGTGTGTAGTTAGCGTGGATGTGAGTTATGTAGAAGTCAACTGTAGCTAATGGGTGGTCAATTCTACACAAACCAACTCCTTTACCTGAAGTTTATATTGTAAGGGGTGTAAAGTAAACATTGTACACTCACTGTACACTCACTGTATACTCATTGTACACTCACTGTATACTCATTGTATACTCGTTGTATACTCATTGTACATTCATTGTACACTCATTGTATACTCGTTGTAAAGTGTACACTAACAGAAACCCGTCTAACCCTAGGTCTATTTTTTTATTTTTTCATACTGGTCAAAAGGCCAAAAAGGTGCTAGAATAAATACACAGTAAAACCTGCCTGATGTAACGTGCCTCTGTCTACACTTTAGTTTGACTAGCAGGAACCCGTATAACTCTAAGTGGTGTCAAGACTCAAGAGACTAAAATAATTATTATCTATTTAATTCGCGTTTTTGACACCACCTGGGGGTCCAAATTTTGGGCACTAAAATTCTTATTCCTTGGCAAATTTGTTATTTTTTCATGCTGATTTGAAGGCCATTAAAGCATTTGAACCAGTCAAAAAAGTTTAAGTTGTATATCTTTTACGGTTTTTTAATTTACTTGGAAGTGAGGAGGAATTAGCGACAGAATAATGGCGTAATTTCATCAAAGGTTTACTGCCCTGTTGCTTAGCAACAACAAGAGATTGCACAAGCAACCACAAATTAGCAACTCGTGTTGTCAAGCTTTATGATACTAGCTCACATTAACGCTGTCATCATTGTCAAATAAAATCTATACTGTTTGCAGAGCTAGATGATGAAGAGAAATTAAAACAAAACTGATTTTTAAAATTTCCGCGACCAAAGCTTTCGACTAGCAGGTTCTTAGTGCATTATAAATGTCATCACTGAGTCAGTGTATATTAGTTACAAACTGTCTCACCTGCCCACCAGTCCCCATGTGCTACACGCTGTGGGTACCCATTTAGAGCAAACGGGTGGAATGCTATCTCAACTATAGGGTACCTGACGCAAGGGTAGTTTTAGTAAAATTGTTACCAGAAAACAACTGAAACTGTGGTATTAAAGGGTGATCATATAATACACTTGTCATAATAAATACATCAACTGTTACTGTTACCTGGAGAGGACAAGCAAACCAGGACTACCCAAAGATCCGCTTCTGAACCAGTGACTATGACCAAATATTGACTGAAATCATTAGTCAAAGTAAAAATTCAAATAATGAAATTGTTTTTACATTTGGAAGGTGTTACTTCAACAGTGTAATCTATTAAAAATCACAGGTCACAGAAAAACAAAACAGCTATGTGGCAGCCAAAAGCAGAAAACACTACCTAGGAAAATATGTGTAATGTGTATGAAGGTGAGTTTAAAGTTGTTACCTTGACACCATCCTGTATAAGTTTAGCATGCCAGGAGGTAAAAACCTCTTGTAACCCCACAATCTGATAATCTGACACCATAAGGTGTTCTATCAGGTGTTCTGAGCGCTGTTTAATCTTCTTGCTGGCAAACGGGACCCCCCACATGTTCAGAGACAGTACTTTAATTGTTGTCCCCATTGTTACTCCTAATGCAGGGTGTTTTTATTTACCTCGGAAACCCGTAGTACTATGTTTTAAGTTGAGCCAAACCACAACAAATTCTACGCTTTTCTGTGACTACAGTTGTTATCTTTGTGGGAGGGGTACCAATCTACCCCTATTCTTGCAGCAGTTATTTTCTTTTTTATTAAAAAACAGTATACACATAATGTCACAATGACTCTATATAAAAATAACCCTTCAAAAACTCAATATTTTCCCTATCTCAAATATTGGTATAAACATTTGAAAATCACCCTTGGGCCTTTGCCTTGTGGCTCCAAGTTCAAATCTAGACTATCTATATTGACAAAGTTCTTTCTCGCATATCTGTCTCCCCAGATTGATATAATAGCCAATCATGAATTATGTTTAATTTAAAATGTGGCACGTGCAATTTTGCAGCAAAGGATCTGTTGTATATTTATATTAATGCAATATATTGTTAGCTTATGTTCTTGATTAAACGATCGTTTTAGTGCTCCCTAAGAACCCTACACAGAACACAACAAATGGCGACGAGAAATGTTAACCCCTTCAAAGAAGTACTTACGAAGTCGAGCAACATCCGTGAATGGTTTGAACGATATGAATTTTATCTCAATGTTAACGACTTGACCAGAAGACGCAGAGAATGCTGATCAGGTAACCGCGGCTAACAAGAAGAACATCAAAGTCTTCATCAACTCAGTCGACGGTGAAATCTACTCACTTATTAAATCACTGGTGAACCCTGACAATGTAACTGAAAAAACGTATGCTGAGAGAAACTGTTGGTAGACCACCTTTCCCCCAAACCAACCCAGTATACTCAGCGTTTTAAGTTTTACAGGACAATGCAGAATATTAATGAGCCAGCCAGTGAGTTTTTAGCCAGATTGAGAGTAATAGCCAACGACTGTAATTTCAGGAACTTTGACAGCGCTCTATTAGATCAGTATTTGGTAGGTTTGAGAGACCCTAAAATCCAGTCAAGACTGCTGTCAGAAAAGGAGTCGAACCTTGCAACTGCTGTTGAGGTGTTGAGTTTTTAGAAGGCTAACCAAGAAGCTCAAATTATGCATGGGGAGAACTTGAACTATGTCAGAAAAGGGAAACAGAGGAGAGAGAGACAGTACTCATGTCAAGGACATATTGTGATTGATTGATCTAATGATATATTTGATAATATTGTGATTGAGTAATCTAATGATATCATTGATAATACATTCTAACAATTAACTTATACAGGATGTTATCTGTATCTGGAATCAGTGTGTATCATTTGTAAAAGACCATTGTAACCAACTGACACTCAGATAAAACTATACTCCTAACCCTAAGAGCATGGAAGAGCCTCCCCTACAAAATTGCTTGCCGATGGTTTAGAGAGTACATTTTGGTATACTTAGTTATTCAAGCCTATACAATAAAATACGATGAAAATATTATTTATCCAGTAATAAATTTGAATGGCGCGCGCTATATCCCTTCCCAAAGCACATATCCAATTTAATACGTATTTGATTGACGATGTCAATAAAATACGCGAAGCAAAAATGATAATTTGCGAGGCGCATCGATGCAGCGTTGTTTTTCAAAATACGTATGAATTAGTTCAATAACTTAATTGATTTTTTACTTTACCTGGGGACCCAGGCTATTTTATTTATGTTCATAATCATATCAGGGCACGTGTTAATGAAAAATGTACGTGTCCTTCCACAATCCCTTCTGTTGGGTCACACGTTATTGGGAACTGAGATCGCTATCGTGTAACTAGAAGCAGTATATGCAAAGTAACTTAGGTGATAGGTGATAGGCAATATGAAATTACACATCTTACTTTAACTTTATCCCGTCACCCATGGACTTATCAATTAACGGCTGGTGGTGGTGTCATCGTTTGTCGTACTCAAAACGTTTCGCGGTTGCGAATGCCGGCCCATCGAGGAAAATCTTTTTACTTTGTATTTTAACCATTATAAAGTATGATTAGTCGGATATAATACTGAATTCAAACAGTCCCCGAAACGAAAAAGCAAACATTTGATTTTTGTTTCGGCGACTGAATCGTTAATGGGCCGGCAAATATTTGTTGTCGAGTAGAGTTGAATACTCATATTAACATGATTATTGATTTGATTTAGGAATTGTATATAAATAACTTTGACCAAGTTTAATTGTTAATGAGAATGCACCCCAGCACTGGGCGCGCGGCGGCTTTGATGTTAGCGGCTACAAGCTTGAAGCTAGGCAGCTGCAGAAAAAATGCCGCGCGCGTTCAGCGTACGGCTTTTCGTTTTTGATTTTACAAATGACAAAGCAACTTTTAATGATTCATGATTATTAATGGAATTATCGGATATTTATAATTCAATATGTATTGATTCTTCTGTGGAAAATAAAAATTGTATTTTACTTAAAATTGTATTTTACTTATGAGAATAGAGATTAGGCGGAATGACAGGCTGAGTGCCGGCCGCCGCCCAGTAATTTTAAACTAAGTTGATTGACCAAAATTGAACTGGGAATCGAGGTACGTCGCCAAAATGTTTGTACGTTTGTGTTCGCGTTATTGTATTTTTAACGAAGAAATAAGGAAATTATAATGTTTTTGTTCACCAGCTAACCATGTGCTTTCGCTTAACAATTAATTGCATCAACATTGCTCTATCCAGAGCCTTTGCGCTTGCAGTAGTGCGCCTCCGCTTTGTGAAACAAGCGCGCCCGCAGCGGCGCGAAAGCACATGGTTAGGTGAAGCATCAACACGGAATTTGACTTTTTCCTAGCTCTAGGTTGCAGTTTGCTCTAACCAGTGCAGAGCCCTTTTGCTTGCAGTAGCGCGCGACCTATTCTACTTGTGAAACAAGTGACCAAAACGGTTTTTTGCCCATATGCCATAATTCTTCAGGGAAGCATTTTACCGGCCCTATGTCATGGGGGTGATTCGGAATCAGCGTTCAAAAATACACCGATCACGATTTTGATCAATTTCATACCCCAAAAGGCCTTTTCTCAAGAATTTTCTTGAACATTGAAATTTGGATGAGCGATTTAGTAAGAGCGGCAGTTAGCAGCAGTCAGCAGCAGTTAGCAGCAGTTTCTTTGCACTTTAGTCTCCCTGTGCCAGGCAAGTTATTGGCGAAAAACTGTCTCGATCACGTGAAATGACCGTATATGGAAGTTGGTATAGTTTCTCGTTAGGGTCAGGGTTTCAGTTGTATCACGCGGTGACCCCCACGGTCGCTTTACTATAGTAGCTTCACTATAGTAGCGTCTTCGACGCTACAGGGGGAGCCGCGCACTTCGTGCGCGGCGGGTCATACAACGTATGACAAGGTTTCAGCTTATGCTTTTGTTAAAAATTGGGTTAGGGCTAGGATTGTCACGTGACAGTCGAGTGTAAAGTGATTAATCATCATCCCCATAACAGGGCCTAAAGCGTTAAGATTAAAATTCCATTATTAAAATCCCAATAATTGAGATAGGGATTTTAGGTTTACAACCTACCAGGACGCGCGCCGATTTGGACTCGTCGACGTCAATAATTGGAACAAATAATTTACGATTATCACCCGTTAAGATAGTGGATAGGGAATATATTGATTTTTTGAAGGTTTGTTTTTATATAGGGTCATTGACCATTGTTGATGATCTGGCCCGGCACGCGCTACTTCGTAGCACTTGCCGTCGGGCCACGTTTCGAGAAGAAAGCGGCGCGCGCTACTTCGAAGAAATTTGTCATAATATTTGAATAATCTTATATATAACAAAATTAATATGGGGTGATTTAAAGTCAGCGCTCGATCAAATACATCGATTTAAGTTGATTTTAACTGTCGGGGCCCTTTTAATAAAAATCACAAAGATCGAGTGTAAAGTGTAAAGCACGCTTGATAGATTACATTTAATCTAAAATTACATTGAGAGTAAAATTATTAATCATATTATGCGTCCAGTTCTACTTATTACATATAAGGCCTTAAATTTAATAATATAAAAGGAGCCTTCTAGGTGCATCTTTCAGTAGAGATATAAAAAGAACATTGTATGATATAAACCTACAAAGTGAACTGAACAGTTTTGTGAGTTATGAATTATTGAATCATGGTTGCCCAATGTCCATTGTCCACAATTCAAGTGGCTAGAAATGAGATGGTTTACAAAAGGTTAGTATATATCACAACAAAATAATCCTTGTTAAAGACCATAACTGTCAAGGTAATCCTCAAGTATCCCTATAGTTCTAGACTGACCATCTGTAACCAATAGGCTTCTTACCAAATCACTCATTACATCTTGTCTAGATAAAAAATGTTGAACTGCTGAAGTATTGCAGTGCCTTTCAAAATATAAGACACTAATAAATTGTATAAATATTGCATGTTTTGCCAGGCTCTGAACTTCATTACCAGTAAAAATTCCACAAAATTGCCTCAGCTTTGGCAAATGTGTTCCAATATTATATGAGCCTAGTAGATTGATGAGACATCGATGAAGCAACGAGTTACGTCCTGCTGAACTGATTCCAAGAATAAGTGACCTAATGTTATGATCTGCTTTGCCACGGCATGTAGTTATTATTTTGCTATTCCTTAACTGCGCTGCAGCAGTAACCATTGAATCCATTTCCTCTCCGTCAAAAAGGAATAATATATTATCACTATATTGCCTTAAACAATGTTCAACAGACCTTTTTTCTGCTTCATTGAATGTCCCAAAAACTCCCAAGTTGGTGAGGGTAGACAGAACATTTATACCATGATACATGTTTTTAGATGATGACCCCTCAGTCAGAGAGGATTTATCTATAAAAAGGATCAACTTTTCTGGGTTGAACACCTCTGCTTGCACACAGAGTTTTTTGAGGAAACAAGTTTTACCAGATGCCCCTGTACCTTCTATACACCACTTTTGTTGTGTTGTTTTAAGGAATCTTTCACACACCAGTGAGATTTGTCCAGATAGCCATCCATTACCAGACACTTCGAGTTCCTGCCACAAATCCATCAGAGTCAATGTGCACCTTTTTAATGGTCCTAAAAGAGTCACATTGTTAAAAAGTGGATTTTTGTATCTTCTCCAACTGTCCTCCTTTAATCGGTTCCAAATATCTCCTATAGAGTTTGATTTTGCCTCAATGAGACTTTTCAGTAGTCCTGTTTGTTCCTCTGTTTTGTCCAGTAAAAGCATCTGGTCCTCTTTGATCCTCACCAAGTCATGTTTCATTTCACCCTGTAAATATTTTAGCACATCATCTCTGCTTGTCATCAGCTCTTTTGATTTACTCAGCCAATCCTCAATCTTCTTCCTGAACATTTCCCCAAAATTTATCATTTCATCAGCCAGTATAACATTGATATGTGCGTTAATGCTTGTCTCGAGCGAGCTGTAAACATCATCGGAAATCCAGCACTTGTTAGTGTGGGAGTAAACTGTGTTCTTGACAGTCCGCATGTAACACAGTGCTTCATGTGTCTTGGGTTTCCAGCCCTGGACTGGTTTTGTGAATGACAGGAATATAGATGCCAATGTAACGTCTAATGCTGCAAAAGTGTTCACTGCATCTGCCGGTTGCTGGTCAGTGAGCTTTGTCGAGAAGTATAAAAGTGACACTTGATTACCATTTAAACCTTTCTGTCGGAGTTTTGACCAGATGCTTGTATCAAGCAGCCATTCCTGGATTGAATTGTTGCACTTATCTGGCCCAAGTATCTTAATTGCTTCCCTGAAATGAATCAATTAGTTCATGAAAACTTGAATATTGATAGCATTAACTAGTAAAATATAGTTTCTAAAATAAGTAAGTGATTTTTTATTCAAAAATTAAAGTGTTAAAGAGATCACCCACCTAAGAACGGATGGGACAATCTCTACTACAAGTACTGACAATCTAAGGAAGTAGTTCTGGCCTCTGTTTATCTCAAACAAGTTT